GCGTGGAGGGCGAAGGGCTACGAATCCCAAGCAAACTAGCGTCCTTGCTTGCTTAGTGTTAAGGGGACCAAGATGATTATCATGTGAATATTTCCAGTAAATCATTATAAATGTTATCCCCAGAAGTAATGATAATTATGATTATATTTAAATGATTGTGAATATTTCCAATATTTCCATTATAAATGTTATCTCCAGAAGTTATGATAATTATGATTATATTTAAATGATATATCTGTTCTTTGTCTTTCTGAAAGGACCCAGAGAAGCTCAGAGCCCAAATATGCCTCTCTATCTTTAAAACTCTGGCTGAACACCGTGTGATGAAACACACACATTTTATACCAAGGTGTTGAGCGATGTGTAGATAATTAGCAGCAGTCCTTCAAACTCTTGGCCCTCCTGCTTTGCAAAATGTTAGGTTGTGTCTGTGGCCCGTCCAGCCGGGCTCCTTAATGCTTATCTGCTGCTCTATCATTAGAACATCCTGCCAATCACATGCATCACTTTGTGCACTGCGCACACAAACACACGCTTTATTCTTCAGGTTCACTGGCACTGGGTTCAGACAGAGCTGTCTGGATTTAGATAAGTGGGGGAGATGAAGGTGGAAGGAGGTTAGGAGAGGAGGAATGACAGCTTTCTTCCTGTGTAGACTCAAAATAATAGCTCTGCAGCCAGAACCTGACCCTGACCCTGATCACAGAGGCACACAACACACTGCAGTTGGTGTATGTTATCAAATGGTATCTGCAAATGTCAGAGGTTCAATATAATGTGTATAATATATTGAACTGTATTAGTGTCTGAACTTCTATGTGTGTTCTTTCGTCCGCTCACAGAGCCCTCCCTGTACTTTGGTGAACCTGAGTATGTGGTGGACGAGAGTTCAGGCTACGTGGAGGTTAAAGTTTGGAGGACAGGAACTGATCTGTCCAAGACGGCCACTGTCATGGTCCGCTCCAGGAAGTCTGACCCGGTCTCAGCAGAGGGTACAAACGGCAGTTTGATGACTATTTGAAAGGGTTTTTGTCCTCGTATCGTTAGTTCATTTTTTCTTCTTCCACTAACAGCCGGTCTGGACTATGTTGGCATTAGTCGCAATCTGGACTTCGCTCCTGGTGTGACAATGCAGACCTTCAGAGTGACCATCCTGGATGATCTGGGTCAGCCAGAGCTAGAGGGACTGGAGACCTTTGACCTCGTGTTACGAATGCCCATGAATGCAGTTTTGGGAGAACCGAGCAAGACCACCATCACCATCAACGATACCTTCACTGACTGTAAGATCGTCAGCATTTATCTTGAGCACCACTTGGATTCAGTGAAAGGTGTAGTAACAGGTCGTTGTACTTACAGTGCCAAAGGTTCAGTTTAAAGAAGGCAGCTACAAGGTGGACGAGGCAGACGGTGAGGTCAAAGTCATAGTGTACCGCAGTGGAGACATCAGCCTGGAGTCCACAGTACGCTGCTACACCCGCCAAGGCTCAGCCCAGGTTATGATGGACTACAGCGAGAGGCCCAATACTGACGCATCCCTCATTACTTTCAAACCTGGTCGGACATTTTTTTCTTTTCTTTTTTTTTTATTATTTTGTTTACACCAACACTGAAGTGTGATGGATATGACCAAAACTATGTAAACACTGAAGCGTGATGGATATGACCAAAACTATGTAAAAATGTTTCTTCAGGTGAGACCGAGAAGCCATGTGTTGTCAGTCTGATGGACAACTCTGTCCACGAAGAAGACGAGGAGTTCCGCTTGGTCCTGGGATCTCCTAAGAGCAAGTCTAAGTATGGAGCAACTATCGGGGAGCAGAAGGAAATCTTGGTTACAGTCACAGATGAAAAAGACAGTGAGTGATTTCACTTTGTGAAATTAAGCAGATAAACGTCTTACAGACGTCTTGGCGGAGTCAGTATCACAGAGTGAACTGTGAGACTGAGGTTTTTTAAACTAACGACCTCAAACCATGTCTGTTCTAGAGTCCATCATCCGATTCTCAGAGATTAAGTACAGCGTGCGTGAACCTCAGGTCAAAGGAGACGTGGCAGTGGTGAAGATTCCTGTGCTTCGTATTGGGGACACTTCAAAGGTGTCGGTGGTGAGAGTTCACACCAAAGACGGCTCTGCGACCTCGGGGGAGGACTACAACCCAATGTCCGAGGGTAGGGACAGTAACTCAGCCGGGATCTCCTCATCAAAATGTTGACTCCATCTAAGAAGGACCTGTCTCTTGACTCCATCTAAGAAGGACCGGTCTCTGTTTCTTAGATGTTGAGTTCAAGGAGGGTGAGAAGGAACACTTTGTGGAGATTGAGATTCTCTATGATGGACAGAGGGAGATGAGAGAGGCCTTCACTGTCCACCTGAAGCCTGATGACAATATGGTGGCTGAAGTACAGGTGAGACCGAGGGGCCAGAGGGCAGGAACATACAAACATCAACTGAATCTTGTACAGTGTACATGAACATCACCCCATGAGCTCGCGCTCTGTCCACTGCTCCGTGTTAAAATAGCCAGGCAGCAGCTGGCATTGCTGTCAGCGTGCCGGAACCACAGTGTTTTATAAAAAGCTTTTCCTGTTGTATGAAATGCTGCAGGGAATGTCCCAGCTGAGCCAAACAGAAGACCCGCCTAAAAACAGAAGCGTGACATTCCAGACAGGTACTCGTCACGTGACGCAAATAAGTTTTCCTCTCACTCCGTAAGGTTAGGCTCACGGAGAATGTTGTATTCGTCGACATATTTAGGGAGACCATCACACTGGGGTCTTATTATTAATCGTCCAAATCTCTATAGAGAATATGCAGTTGGAGCAGTGGTTCCCAAAGTAGGGGTCGGGGCCCCTGGGGAGTACAGAGTTATTGCAAGTGGGGCCTGATGTCATGTTATTTAATTTCTTTTTTTTATATTTGTGCCACAGTGGACCACAAAACTATGTTATTACCATAATTTAGTTTTCTAGACTCCTAAGACTTGGAGTTTCGTTTTCTAGACTCCTAAGAATTGGTGAACGTATTCAGTGTCTGTTTCCTTCTCTATCAGATGAACAAAGCCATTGTGTACATTGAGGAGATGGACAGTGTGGCCGACGTGACCTTCCCTGCTGTGCCTCAAGTGGTTTCTCTGCTCTCGTACGATGACACTGCTAAAGCCCGAGACAGACCCCACCCTCCCAATGGATATCCTGTTGTGTGTGTGACGGTGAGTGGGAGACAAGATACTTTAATTCGAGTCATGGGATGTTTCTGGGAGACATTACTTTTGTTAAAAAAAAGTACTTATCCAGCTTATGTCGTCTCTCTCAGGCCTGTAACCCTAAGTATCACGACTTTGATAAAACCGGTTCCATCTGCGCTGCGGAGCACATCAACGACACTCTCACCCAGTACCGCTGGATGGTCAGCGCTCCCACTGGGTCGGACGGTGTGACCAGCCCCATGAGGGAGGTGGACACCAACACATTCTTCACCAACACCAAGTCTATCACTTTAGATTCAATTTACTTCCAAGCTGGCTCCAGGGTTCAGTGCGCTGCAAGAGCCTTCAACGCTAACGGAGATGCAGGCCTGGAACTGTCTAGTCCCATTGCTGTGGTCAGCAAAGAGGAGGGTGAGTGGGAGACGAGGGGATTGATTCGACAAGTGAATATTTACGTTGGGTATTGAGTTCATTTTCTTCGTCTACATGTTGTTGGCAGGTATGTGTCAGCCTCGTGTTCCTGGTACTGTTGGTGCTGAACCATTCTCTGCTAAGATCCGTTACACTGGCCCAGACGACCCAGACTTCCCAAATCTAATTAAACTAATTGTCACCATGCCACACATGGATGGTAAGCAATTTAGTTAATGTGTGTTTGCTATACGGTCATCATCCATTAGAGTCAGTAAAACCAGAAGACATCACTCTTTACCATACTGTCCTCCTTGATAGGTATGTTACCGGTCATCTCCACACGGGCCCTGTCCAACTTCGAGCTTACGCTGAGCCCAGACGGCACCCGTGTGGGCAACCACCGCTGCTCCAACTTACTGGACTTCAACGAGATCCAAACGAGCCACGGCTTCATCACAGACGCGACCAAGAACCCAGAAATTATCGGAGAGACATCACCTTACCAGTACAGCCCTATCATGCGCTCGGCCAACTCTCTGCGTTTCTATAGGAACCTGAACTTGGAGGCCTGTCTCTGGGAGTTCACCAGTTACTACGACATGTCCGAGCTTCTGAACGACTGCGGAGGTTCCATTGGCACAGATGGACAGGTAGAAAACAGATTAAGACAATATGATGTCAAATACTGGTCAGGTCTGGTCGAACTAGCTAGCTCATGTAGGAAACAGTACAGCGTGGTGTATTACTTTAGCATGTGTGCAAACATGTAGTGAGAAAAAAGAACAAATGACTCTACATAATCAATATTTTTTAACACTTTTTTCGCACAGATTCATGTGAACGTTTTTCCAGTGTGGAATCCACTTGTCTAATGAACCTGTCAAACACCTGTGTACACACAGTGCAGGAAAACGTTTTCCTTTCACTGTAGCACCTCAAGCTTAAAATAACATCTCAACGCAGAGCATGCCTTAGTGTCGACACATTCTTCAAGCCGTCCCCGAGATGCACAGTAATGACTAAATTCCACCAACTATATAAAGCTAAGGAAACCATTGGTCTGACATGTAACTTCACCTGTAGGTGTTGCCATAGCTTCCAAGCTGTACTTTTATGATCCTACAAACAGTATATTATTTTTCGTTCCGTAGTTAGAAAAATATTGTAAAATGGTCAACGATGCTTGAAATATTTTCAAATTTTGCTTTTATTCGTATGACTGTTGAAAAATATTATAAAATGGTCAACGATGCTTGAAATACTTTCAAATTTTGCTTTTATTCGTATGACGGTTGAAAAATATTGTAAAATAGTTAACGATGCTTAAAATACTTTCAAATTTTGCTTTTATTTGTATGACTTTTCTGAACCTGGTTTTTATTTTGTCCATATTAGGTTCTGAACCTTGTCCAGTCCTACGTCACCTTGCGCGTCCCACTGTTTGTGTCCTACGTCTTCCACTCTCCCGTGGCCGTTGGCGGCTGGCAGCACTTTGACCTGCAGTCCGAGCTTAAGCTGACCTTTGTGTACGATACAGCTATTCTGTGGCAGGATGGCATTGGCAGCCCGCCTGAAGCTGAGCTTCAAGGTACTGGCACAGAGGCTGCTGGTTAACAATGCTGACGGATACGTTTATACAATCAGTTTGAAACTGTATTTGTCTTTACCGTAGGATCCATGTACCCCACCAGCATGCGTATCAACGAAGAGGGCCGTCTGGTTGTCAACTTCAAGACCGAGGCTCGTTACAGGGGACAGTTTGTTATGTCTCATCCAGGTAAAAAAGAGTGCTGCTCACACACACCCACGCCCTAAACCTGTCTGCTGGGGTCATTCTATACATGCAGTCCATATTAGATTACCCAGTTGCCCACATCCACACTTCATCTATTTCTGGAGTTCCTCACTGGGGGTTTCTTCCTGTGTTAAAGTGCCAAAGGTCATCTCAGCAAATGTCAAAATCACCCTGTAGTTTTTACTGTTCGGAAGCAAGTGGTACGAACAAAACACAAGGTCACGCTTTAAATAAAAGTAAAGAGCTGTAGAGAGAGAGGGCGGAAAAAAGGCAAAAGCTCTATACGCTTGTATGTGTTTGTTTCCAGGAACCAGCATGGCGTCCATGGTAATATGTGCTGACCACCCCGGGCTGACGTTCACTCTCGCCCTGGTCAGGACTGAGCCCACCTATAACCAGCCCATGCAGCAGTGGAGTTTCGTCTCAGACTTTGCTGTGAGTCGTTGTACAGGAGAATCTTCCTGATGTGACGGAGAATTCTTAAAGTTGTTCCCGCTGACCTAACTCTGCTCCCATCTCTGTAGGTGAGAGACTACTCTGGCACCTATACAGTCAAGCTGATCCCTTGCATTGCCTCCCCCAATGGAGAGTTCAGCATCCCCCCTGTCTGCCACCCAAGAGAGCCGGTGACCTTTGACATGGACATACGCTTCCAGCAGGTCAGACTGAACTCGGACGTGAACACTGAAAATCC